GGATCTGCCCGCCTCAGCCTCCCAAAGTGCTAGGTTTACAGGCGTGAGTCACCGCGTCCAGCCACAAGCCTTTCTTGTAGATAAAGCTTTCTTTATCTCTAAGTTAAAAATGCCTATTCATGAAGTACTGCCCATTCATGAAGTATTGCCTATGGCTGATTTCAGCATATAATAGCAGAGTTGAGACCATACAGCTTGAAAAATTGAAAATATTTACTATCTTTTCCTTTACAGAGAAAGTGCACTCACCCTATGACCCTGTCCTAGAGAATGACATGTTTTTTTCCTAGAAATATTGAAAAAATATTATAAAGAATTCTAAAATAAATAGGTTTCAATAAATTTTGCAGCAACATGTGAATTGAACACTTTTATTCATCACTTTTTTCTCTATTTTGTGAATCACAATGGAACTTTTTCTTTTATATCTTTTGAATAGTTTTAAAAGTCAGAAATTCAGATTCACTTTAGTCAGTCAATATTCAAGCTTAAGCGGAAAAAATGTTTCTACTACCCAAAGAAAATATCAAATGAGATTATCCAAATAGGAAGTGAGACTTTGTTTTAAAATAAAACTTCATGTAAATAAACATAAGGGGGACAGGAGACGGATGATGTGTATGAGGCACTCTCTCTTCCAAGTCAAATCTCAGTTTTTCCTGCATTCATTGCCCAGCCACAACATATATATAAATATAATATGTGTGAGTATGAAGACCAAAAGTGGAGAATGTTGAGTTACATACTAAACAATTTTTCCATCAAAGTAAATGATTCCCAAACATAGCTCACTTTTTAAATGATACGATAAATTCAGAAATGCCCATTTTACTAAGACATCGTTGTGTCCTTCCAGAAGAAAAATATAAGTAGTGTAATTAAGAGAGAAGCATCTGTTGAATATTCTTTTATCATAATCTGTGGTCTCTTTGGCATAAAGGCACACTATTTCTAAGAGTACAGCACCAAATAATCAATAAGAAAAGCCAAATTCTATAAAGACTGGGTCACAAGCACAGATCTTCAAAAGTGCCATTTTGAGAATATTACAAAAGAGAGGTATTTTGATTCTAGAATTCAGGAATATTTTGGCTATATAACAGAGGTCTCATGAAGATTAAAGTCAATATTCAAAGGAAAGTTCAACAAACCCTCATAAGTGAATACATTACATACAACTACTTTCAGGATATGATTAGAATAGAAATAAAAGCACAATCTGTATTAACAAAGTCTCTTACTAGAGTTTCAGATTAATGTGAAAAATGTGCGATCATGTGAGAGATAAAGAAAATCACAATTTTATAGTAATCGAGCAAATATACCTGCTAACAATGGTCTCTAAATGTTAACATTTACATTAAATGTGGTAATATTCTCAGGGAATTTCTCTGTTGAGTGAGATCTCTGAATAAGCCTGTCACATTAAGCATTGATATCATAATTATTGATTAAAATATCTCTGTATGGTAGCCACCAAAAAAACCTCAAGATATATCATGACCTCTGCTCTCAAGGAGTTTGTAATACAGTAACATTTGAGCAACCAAACCCTTCCTCATATACATATATAAATACCCAGTAAAAAAGGAATATAGTCTATAATGCTACCTATAGTGTCTTACATTACACCAAAAAGAAAAAGAAAGAAAATATATCTTAGTTTCAAGGGATAGCATATAATCTTTTGGAATCTAAACTAGTATTAAAGAACAGCCAATGACCCAGAGATTCTGCACTTTTCAAATACTGAAGAAACTCCTTACAGAAGACTGAAGAGTTAGCTCAGAAAAATAAAGCACTAACAAAACAGATTATTGTGCCTACATTCCTAATGAATAAGATAGAAGTGAGCAGGCTAGCTCTGTGGAGGCCAAGGTGTATTAGAAGAGCAAGCTCCTGTCTTCTCTTCAGAGCAAGCTCTAACGGTCAAAATCTACATTGTGTTTATTCTGCATTGGCTGCGGTTGCCGGATTTCATACAAGCATTTCCGCCAGCAGAGCTCTAAAATCTCCCGTTAGGCTTATTAAATGGGCAACAACAGCTCCCTTTCCCAGCTGCAGAGTAGCGGATCTTTCAGTGTTTGTCATTGTTTAATGCTTCTACCAACAGTGATGATTTTACCAAAAGTTGGCATTTCCTTTTGCCTGGTTCAATTCTTCTGCAACATCATTAAATTTCTCTATAAATTCCCTTTCTTGGAACAGACAATATCAATGTAAACATTAAATACTTAACATGCCCAAGTTATGTCATTCCTTTACAATCTCTTCTCACTTTCTTATTTCCTGCTATATTCCTGTTGCTAATTAAATAACACATGTGAATCTCTGTCCTCCAACAATTTCCACTGAATTCAAGCAACTGCACGTGCCTTCTTTCCTAAAACAACTAAAACTCTAAATATCACCTCTCAACTTCTTTTTTTAAATTAAATGTTAAACTCTATAAAGCGAGTAATCACAGAAATGCAAATTTTATATTAAAAATAATGTAACAATAAAAATTAAGTTTTTACAACTATTTTAGTGTGATATAATTTTGGTGTTTAGGAATGCTGTTCCGATATTGACTCCTCTTTTGAGGATACCATTCTCAATTTAAAAAGAATAATAACCAGAAAGTCAAAGAATTATTGATCATCTTTTATTATTTTCCAGATACCTTTTCTCTTTGATTTTTATTACTATTATTAGACAATTTTAAAGTAAAAAAAAAAAAAAGACATATTTATCTGTAATTAAAACTAAATGGCAGGTTTTTTTTTTCCACTTTGAGTTTTCACTTCAAACCATTACACCTAGAAAATTCACTGATGCCTTATTTTGTTGCTTGGCCCAGTCTTAATCCTCTTTCTGCTATTCAACTGTAAAAACCAACTCACTCACAATGTAGCAGCCGTTCAAATCAATTAGATGACAATATAGACTTTAAGTTCCACAAGCAGAGACTAATTAAGGATTCTGCTAGTACAAGCAAAAGTTAGTGTTAAAAAAGACCAAAAGCAGATAAGTATTTTAAAAAGCATTTACTTCAGTCCATACCTTTAATTAGCTGCATAACTCCAGGGACTATAATTATCAGAATTGCTGTGAGCTTGCAAAAGGTTAAGAAAATCTGGATCCGGGCGCTCCAGCTGACACTCATGCTATTTAGGACCATCACTACAGCTGCAAACAAATAGATGAAGTTACAAAAGGTGAATCCTCAACGGCACAAAGACATTTTAGGTCCTTGTTACTCAAAGGGCAATCTATGAGGCAGCAGTGTTGACATTGTTGTTTTAGGAATGCAGAATCCCAGGCCCTTCCCCAGACCTAATGAATACAAATCTACATTTCAACAGGTTCTCCAGCTGGTTTCTATACACATTAAAGTTTGAGAAATGTGGATAAAACCTCTGGACAATAGGAATTCTTCTCTTGTTCTTTGTATGTAAGAATGGGCATATATTGTAGTACTCTGACAATCCTATAAAAATGTCTTCTAACCAAACCCTCATCCAATCAGATGGCTGAATTTGACTCTCTAGCTTGATGTGGCAACTCTTTTCTGTCTCCATGACGGTATGCCTGCCACTGTGGATCACACTCAAGAAAGGGCAAGACATGTAGAAGTTGGTTCAGATCTTATTTTTCATTCTCAGGACTAGCCTCAGGCAGCACTTTTCTTTTGGTTTTCTTCTTTCTAATTAGCATGTCAAGGGGCGACTTTCAACCTACTGTACAAGAATCGTTTTTCAAGATATATTTTAGGGCTTGAGCACAATATTCTAAGTGATGAGTGCAAAAGACTAACCAGTCTAGGATGCACATTAGGTTCAAGCCAGCAGAATTTTTCATTCTTACTGATGCTATCCACAATTTCCCAAGCAGCAATAACTATTCACCTTCGACACCTTGTGGACCATGAAAACCTCAAGGATAGAGCAAGGGTTATTCATCGCTGTATTGCTAGCATCCAGCTCCATGCCTGGCCTGGGTAGCTTAATACATTTTTGTTGAATGAATGAACTGGGTCCTCAGTCAGAAAATCTAAGGCACAAGGGGAATGGTGATGCTCTAAGACCTTTCTCCCCTACTCTGCTGGGATGACTGAGGTTATTCTAGACAGTGGATTTCAACTTTATACTCTTTCCACAACCTTATGCTCAGTTTTAACAACCCAAAACATTACTTTATTCCTGACATTTACAGTTATTAACTATAACCTTTATATTTATAAAGGTATATTCTCCCTAAACAGATATTAAAAATGTAAAGATATTTCTCAAAGAAACAAAACTCCTACAGAATTCTTATTATTCAAATTGCAATTGGAAGTTTTCTTATGTATAGTAATGAGTCCGCCTCACAGTTTTCATTGCCTAATATAGTTACTAGCTCACTTCAGAATTTAACAATCAATGCAAATGTTAGCAACACATAATCTTTAATGGCAAAAAAATGGAAATAGCCTAAACCTCCTAAAGGAAGGCTAATTAAGGTATATCATTTTAATAGTTTATATGTAGCCACTTAAAATTATGAGGCAGTTAAATATTTATTATAAGAAAGGATATTCATGACATATTACTGATCAATACAGCAAGTTAGAGAGATGGATGGAAAGAGGAAGGAAGGAGGAAAGGAAGGAAGGGAGGAAGAGAGGGAGGGAGGGAGGGAGGGAGGGAGGAAGGAAGGAAGGAAGGAAGGAAGGAAGGAAGGAAGGAAGGAAGGAGTAATAGAAAGATCTGGAAACATATTTACCAAAACATCAACAGCAGGTGTTTATAGGAATACTAAATAATTTTCAGTTTTTTAAATTTATTTTTAGGAATAGTTTAATAAATTTTATAATGAATATATACCTTTTTGGTGACTATAGTTTCAAATACTGAATTGTATATTTGAAATATACTTAAATGTTCTCACCACAAAACAAAACAAAAAAAGAGGGGTAACTAAATGATATGATAGATGTGTTAACTCACTTGATTGTGATAATCATTTCACAATATATATATAAATAAAATCATTACATTGTACACCTTAAAATTACAATTTTATTTGTCATATGTACCTCAATAAAGCTGAAAATTTTAAAAAGTAAATGAAGCAATAAAATACATTTTGTTTTTGGAAAAAACTCCAAGATGGGAAAAATAAGGGACCAGAAGATCCCATACCAAGTGAAATAGGGGGTTACTAATGAAGAAATATTTCAAAGGAGTAATTATGAGAATGACCAAAAAGGCCAAACCCCTGAATAAGCTACAGGGGCATCTAAGGGGGCGTATTTCATCTGTGCTGGAAGGTGAAAACATGAAGGGATAGACAGGTCTGTCATCAATCACAAAGTGCATTATTTTATCAGAGGAATCACAAAAATAAAATTATTTATGTCTCCCCAACATAAGGCACTTATATATGGAAAATGTTAGTGTAACTCTGCTCCCCACTCCATCATCCAGTGGTTCCTTTCCTTTTCTAGGCAAATGACTGTGCGATGAGTCATTATACGATAATGACTATTGTTTTAATTAAGGAGATTCAACGTTGGTGTAAAAGTGAAAAAACTGTCTCATGTGGCCACCAGCAACAAAAGGGCAGTGTTTTCTTTCAAATAGGGCTCCTAAAACCCAAAGCAGTCTGTATTTATGAAAGTTCTTTCCGCAGTAGAAAAGAACTGTTATATAGAGAGAAAGAGAGAAAAAGAAAGGAGAGGAAAGGAGAAAGATAAAAAGAAAAAGAGTCAGGCAAGGAGGAAGGAAGGAGAGAGAGTGAGGCATTCTTATTTTTGGAACAACTAGCCATCTATATGTTTGAAAATAAGAAAGAGGTTTTGTTACTTTCATAAAGAGTGTAAGTACCTAATGCCTATTGAAATATTTAAAAAAAAAAAAAAAAACCCTGGGTATTTGGGATTTTAAAAAACATTTTGTAAAGTTTTCTTAGGCAAATGGAAGACATAATTCAACAGATACTATGAATTGATCATCTCATCCTGCTTTCCTCTCAGATAGCTTAACAAAAATTCTCATTAAGATGCTAGTACACTGCTGGTGGGAATGTAAATTACTATAGCCACTATAGAAAACAGTATGGAAGTGCCTTAAACAACTAAAAATAAATCTGTCATATGATCCAGCAATCCCATTGTTGGGTACTTGATTGTGGTGATAGTTTCACAAGGGAATACATACATCACACTTTATCAAACTGTACATTTAAAGCATGTATGGCTTATTGTATGTCAATTATACCTCAATAAAATTTTTAAGAAAAAAAAAAGATGAATTTTTTTCAAAGAGTTCTCAAAGCCCTGCTTTATCTGAGCATCCAGACACTGTACTCATTATTTGGTACACCAAATTCCAGCTGAGATGCACCTGTACTACCCTGAAGGCACAGCTTAACAAGTAACAAGGCAGCCAGTGAGAGGCACAGTGAAGCTTCTCCAGTGGCTATAACTGCTGTTTCATCATGTGTCTTTACAGTGAAATTTATGTCTATATATGTTGCTTATCCAACAATATCGAAAAGGGATTTGGGATTCACTAAACGCAAGAGCTTTCTGAGTTTCTGAAACAAATAATATGTAGTTTTAAAAAATACTACCTGCCCAAACTGCAATAATGAAAGAAATCTGAGCCAGTTCTCTAGTCCTAGTTTTACTTCCTTTGAATAACAATTTGCTAATTTCACACATGAGGAAATAATTATATCAGTTTGGGCATTTTTTGTGTGCTCGCCTTAAATTTTACCAGGATAAAAATACAGGGACATATAGTTTTTATTTACTTATTTATGATGCAGTTTCCTAAGAACTGAAATGTGGCAATGGAAGCTATATCTATAAATCCTGGAGATAAGAAATACATATTTGAAGGAAGCTATATTTGAAGAGGATGTTTAGGGGAATGTTAAGGACTAAAGCTGTGAGTTAAGGACTGGCAAGTAGTTCTCTCTGCACTGTGTAATTCAAGTCTATCTTTGGGTTTTGAAGAGTGAGATTACAGAGTCTGGATATATTGGGTTTTCTCCCAGGTTCAGGTTCTTCTTGGCTTCTGAATTCTGAGTACTTTGTGCTAAACTGATAAAATATATGGATACTGTGTAGGTATGTTACACGTTGAGATAAAGCGGGTTGTTTCACTGCTGTTTTGTAATGGCTGCCTGGATTCCTTTTATCTTTTTATTAGCATTCGTCTCCTGGATGCATTAATTTTAGAGAAGATATGTAGCAACAAACACTTTAAAAAGCAGAGTGACAGTTTATATCTAGGATCTCACTATTGGGAATAAAAATGTTAAGCAATATATAAATATAAACTATTATTTCATGGCAGACATTCTACAAACACTTTACATGAATAATGTTATTTAATCCTCATATCTCTATGACATAGTCATTTTATCGACCTTATTTTTCAGATGAGCAGCTGAGACTCAAGATATTATTTAACTTGCTTATGTTTGCATAGGTAGTAACAGTGAAGGTGAGTCTGGAGCCCAGGTAATCTAACTCTGGAGCCCACACTTTTAATTAGTTCCCAGGTAACAATGAGGAAGTAGTTCAAAAGACATACATGATTCCATTAGTGTACCTAGTTCTTTTAAACTCACGATGGCTCTTTCTCTCTGCAAAATTTCATATTTATGTTAGCTGGGATTTCAGGACCCTTTGTTTCTACATTTTACTTGTCATCCTCCGAAAGTATATGATAGTTGTTCTGCAGTACTTTAATATTTTAATACTATGTATATTTACCTAAAAATTGGTGGTGCTGGTAATTTACTTATGGTAGAAAAGAGGTAGGTATAGCCAGACTTCAAAGATGTAAACAGAGCCACTTCATATGCTATATTTGAAGTGTTAACACAGAAATAGTCCTAGATTTTCTTTTATGTAATTTAATGGTGCCAGGAAAATATAGATTTCAAAAAGAATATAAAGTAATACATTTGTAGAACTGGCTAACTTTTTTCACAATACAATCAAAAATGTTATTTTTGTTTGTTCCTCCCAATTACTTTCAAAAGTTTGAGAATTAGGATGGGGCTCTTAACTCATCTTTATTTTGTATAGATAAAATAAATTAGCAAGGAAATTGGCATTCAACAATTGATGGTGTTAGGGATGGATCTGGGACTAGATCTCATATCTTAAGGAGAATATTTTTATCATAATATTCTGATATTCAAGTGTATCATTATAAAGGGTTCAATTTCAGGAAAACAGAACAGATAAATATTTTAAATATTGAGCACACTTCAATGCTTATTGAATCTATAAAAGCAGTGAAAATTCATGAACTTCTACAGAAGGTAAAGAAAGTAATTACAGGTCGGGTGCGGTGGCTCACGCCTGTAATCCTAGCACTTTGCGAGGCCAAGGCGGGCGGATCATGAGGTCGGGAGATCGAGACCATTCTGGCTAACATGGTGAAACTCCGTCTCTACTAAAAATGCAAAAAAATTAGCCGGGCGTGGTGGCGGGCGCCTGTGGTCCCAGCTACTCAGGAGGCTGAGGCAGGAGAATGGCGTGAACCTGGGAGGAGGAGCTTGCAGTGAGCCAAGATCATGCCACTACACTCCAACCTGGGTGACAAAGGGGGACTCTGTCTCAAAAAAAAAAAAAAAAAAAGAAAGAAAGAAAGTAATTACAATATTGGGCTATAAGAGAGCAGCCAAATGTGAATCTATAAGATATTCCATATAAACTTCCATGCACTTAACATGTTTACTGGAATGGATAAAATTTGTATAAGCAAAAGCTTTTTTATCTTCATTAAATGTGACAGAAATGAAATACAGTACTTAAAAAAATGGGGGTGAATTAGTATTTACTTAACCCCCCACCCTTATCCCATTATCCTCTCTCAAATGGTTGGCTAACATTTCACAAAATTTGATATTCTTTTTTTCTATGATGTAGCAAGACCCTTCATGTTTGCCCTTTTTCTATGCTTAACTAGAGATTTCAAATGACCACAAACTGTTTCCTTCCCCAAGGTTCACAGGGGAGCAATTCATGCAATTAAACTCTATTTTCTACATCTTGGTAACCTTCCACCCCTAACAGGTAGAAAATCACCTAGACTCACTTTGAAGAAAGCAGGATGTGAGAGATTTGCCCCTAGACAAATTTCTCTTTCTCTATCTCCATCTCCACCCCCTGTTGCTCCATTAAAGCTAAATTTTTCTTAAAGACAGTTTGACTTTCCCAATTAGGGCATCGATTTACATTACCTACCACTGAATCATAAGGATATCCAGTTTTCTTTTTAATTGTTGCTGATTATGGAAATACATTTCTTTCTCAGAATTTCAAGCTTGCAAAAGGAACATCAAAATTTAAAAATGAATGTAATAACTCATGGCAAAAATAGAAGGAAACGTCTGGGTTCATCTAAGATTTATTCAGGCTCCTTGTTAACTATTCCATCACCAATGTCTACTACAGAGGTTTTGTAAATCCCAACATGGTTATCCTTTCCTAGAACTGTTTTAAAGTTTAGTTTGAGCAGTTTTTATTTAATCCTCTGAAATACTAATTTTCCCTTTAAAATGTTTAATTAAATTGGGATAAACAAGAAGAGAGTTATCTAGACTTATAAAAACATAAATATAGCATTATTATTAATGTAATTTTAACTCCAAAGTGAGTAAAGTTTGTGAATTTATAAATGTTTACATGCAATCTACTTAGTCTTCTGGTTATGGCTTTTAATTGATAACTATTATTATTAATTTACAGAGCTCTCAAAAATGCCACCCCTGCTCTTCTCTTTTTTAAAAATAATATTTGTGATATGATTCTGCCTCAGTCATTTGAGGAACAAGAAAATGGTGAATATAACAATGGCTGTTAGTCCAATCCCTTAGTGGAACAGTGGACTTATCAAGAACATTCTATAGACAAGGCACTCCGTTAATGGTCTTAAAAATCTGACTTTGATCATGTCTTTTGCAGGAAGATGGATGGAGCTAGAGGTCATTATTCTTAGCAAACTAACACAGGAACAGAAAACCAAATGCTGCATGTTTTCATGTACAAAATGGAGCTAAATGATGACAAATCATGAACACAAAGGGAAACAACAGTCACTGGGCCTACTTGAGGGTGTTTGGAAGGAGGGAGAGAATCAGAAAAAAATAACTTGGGTGCTAGGTTTAGAACCTGGGTGACGAGACAATCTGTACCACAAAGCCCCATGACATGAGTTTACCTATGTCACAAACTGCGCATGTACCCCTGAACTCAAAATAAAAGCTAAAGAAAGAAAAAAGAAAATATAATGAAAAAGAATCTGACCTAAACAAAAAAATCTGGCTTAGTTTCATCTTCCTTCAGCCATTCAAGATACTAATAGATTATTTTTTCACAGGCATTTTCCTGTGAAATAAAATTGGGGCTTAAACAGGTTTGAAACTTAGCACAAGATCACAACACTAAGAATTATAACACCAAGTTTCAATTCCAGCTTGTTCGACTCCAAAGCCTAAACTGTAACCACTATGCTAAAATGGTTCAACCCACAAAAACTTAGACTGCTAGATCTGAACATAAGACGAAGCACACTCTATTGCATTTTTATCATTTTCCCACTGCCTGGAAATATATCGAAGATGTCTAATCCTCCAAGTTTAACAAGTAAACAGACGATAGACTTTTCTGCTGGAGAAAAAAATTCTTAGACTTCTCAGAAAATCAAGTCAACAAATACTTATTGAGCACCAACAACATGCTAGGAGCTAAATGAGGGGCTGGAAATGCAGCAATGAATAGGTCTCTAGTCTCATGGAACTTCAAATGATGTTTTACTAAAAGTATAAATAGCTACCATTTTTATTGTGTTCTTAATAAATTAAATAAAATAATGCCTTTGCTGCAAGTAACATGGATGGAACTGGAAGTCACTATTTTAAGTGGAATTAAAGAAAAAGAAAGTCAAATACCATATGTTCTCACTTATAAGTGGGAGCTAAATAATGTATACACATAGACATAGAGTGTATAATAATAGACATTGGAGACTCAGAGAGATGAGAGGGTAGGAGGAGGATGAGGGATGAAAATTACCTAATTTCTACAATGTACACTATTTGGGTGATGGTTACACTAAAAGCCCAGACTCCACCACTACACAATATATCCATGTAACACAACTGCATTGTGCCCACTAAATCTATTTTTTAAATTTTAATTAAAAAAATAAATGAATTACAGGCAATAAGTAAATTACAGGCAATATCTCAGGCATTGTCCCACTGAAACATCTTAGCCACACAAACTAAAAATTCGTCCATGATTATGCAATTCAGTTAGTGTAGCTTTCTCTGTATAAGTAGCTAAAACTTGGTTAAATGTGATCATATTGATTAAGACAGTGATTCAAATGGCACCCAGAATTAAGTTATCCTTTCCCATATTTAAGGATTTGGTACCTGGCATCTTTTGGGGAATTAGAGTCATATACGGCTTCATATCACTCATGTAATTTTGTTCATGTTCTTTTTGTTTCTTTTTTAAATCAATGAATATTTGTGCCCATTGATAAAAAATGAACAACTTCTCAATTTGGAGACCATAAAGAAATCTAGTTGGAAAACATTATTAATAATCAATCTTGAAAGAAAACTCTTTTCATGACCAACAACAGGCAGCTAACATTATAACACTGGGAGTGACAGCTGCTAACACTACAAAATGTATAAACACAACTTACACACCCACTACATAAAGGTAACTCCACGAATACACATGAGATATAATTCAATATATAGCTAATTTCCAATTAAATAATCTCTAAAATAATTGGGGTTTCCTCTTTAAAAGTCTTGTTCATGTATAATCGACTTAATATTTTACTAGTAAGGTGATTTTTACTATTTAAAAAGATTAGCCATCATATCTATTGGCCAAATATAAAACTGGCATGGAATACAATATTGGATGTCACTCCAAATCCTTCCAGCAGAAATTTGGAACTGTAAGCAAGAAGAACATGATGTGAGAGGCAACCCCACAATGCAAAAAGTCTAAAGACACTTTGTATTCAATCATTTTTGTGTTGTTTCTTCCTTTTTTACATACATAGCTATAATACTCACTTAAGCCCACAGCTGTAATGAGCTTGATCGCAAGTTCAGGGATTTCACATTGAATAAAAAATGGTTCCAGAATGTAGCGTCCAAATGCCAGGGATATCACAGCTGTAGCTGCAGGGCTAAAAAAAAAAATGTATATATTTAGATTAACCACAGAGGGGAAAATAGCATTTTTATTAAATTTAATTTCATTAGATTTTTCTACCTTGAGTGTATTTAGCATATGCAACATGTTAAATATGAAAGTCTATAGTTTTCAGAATTCCATACTTGATTAGGTTGTCATAGACATTCCAAATGAAATATTTCCTATAACATTGGTGGCTAGTTTTTAAAATTCACATATTCTTGGGAACAAGGGTAAGTACTACCAACTTTTCCCCTGCTCTCCCATATTTGACTTTTCCTTCAAAATCTGGCTTATTACATGAGATCTTGACAGAGCTAGGCTTACAGGAAGCCATCTTCTTTCTCAAAAAGTCAGTAAATAAACATCAGCCATATTATGAATTAGTTAATGCCGTACAGATCTAATGTGTCAAGGCATAGTCTAAAGAATGAACACAATACTCAACCTAAAAAATTAGTATTAAGTATTCTCTGGAAATACATGCCTAAATACTTGATGTTGTTTTACTCTTATTTTTTCTGTACAGACAAAAACTCAAAGTCAAGTGATTATTCTTACTCCTATAGTAACAATCAGATATAAAGTATAAATTTAAAAATAATATATTTATTATAATCTTATACAATTAAGTAAATATAAATGGGACAAGAATATGAAATAAATTCAAGTATATAGAAATATAGGTAATACATCTTTCTATTTTAATTCTTCAAATATTTTTATGAGAAAATTGCACAGACCTTTTCATTTTAGATGTATGTATATATGAATGCATATTTTTTCCATAAACATGCAAGTCTGTACAATTATCTAATTTCTTTTTTTTTTTTTTTTCTGAAATGGAGTCTTACTCTGTTGCCTAGACTGGAGTGTAGTGGCACGATCTCAGCTCACTGCAACCTCCGCCTCCCGGGTTCAAGCAATTCTCCTGCCTCAGCCTCCTGAGTAGCTGGGATTACAGGCACAAGCCACCATGCCTGGCTAATTTTGACCCCGTCTCACCATATTGGTCAGGCTGGTCTTGAACTCCTGACCTGGTGATCCACCTGCCTCAGCCTCCCAAAGTGCTGGGATTACAGCTATGAGTCACCGCGCCCCCCGGCAATTATCTAATTTCTTATGTCAAACTTCCTTTTTAGCTTCTCTTTCTTCTCGTAGTTACCCAACATTCATGCCTGATCCATAGATTATCAGAAAACCAACCACCATTACATGTTGTCAACTTTGGCTGGCTGATACTGGAGAGCAGCATAAGGTTTTTGATTTTCTTCTTTTCCTAGACACCCTCCCATCTTCCCCAAACAAAACTGTTTATCCTATTCTCCATCATTTATACAATTTTTGATGTATAATTTAAAATCTGATCATGTCATTTTAGTGCTTTCAAAATATGTTCAGGAAATGCAAAACTCCTTCACATTGCATTCAAGGCTCCATCTGGTCTAAGCTCTCCTTACTTCTTCAGTTAGCTTCCTCCCACTACAAGGATACGAATCTTCTCTGCCTGCAGCCTCTGCAACTCATTGACTATGCTATAAACTTCAGATCTTGGTTCAATTTTCCTTTGCCAGGGAAAGCTTCTCCAACCTCTGACTGGGCCAGATCTCTTGGAGTATATTCATACTGAAGTCCTTGGCCTGTCTTCCACAGTGCTTATCACAGTAGCAATTTTATATTTACCTATGTGATTTCTCAGCTGATAATGATTTCCTCCCACTTGACTCGGAGCTCTAAGGGTACAAAATCGTATCTATCTTAACCACAATTTTATCTCCAGTGTTTAGCGCAGTGTCTAACATATAGTAGAAACCCAAAATATATAAAATATATAGTGAACACGCAAATTCGGTTTAATGACCCCTGCTGTGTACGGATAGGTAATATTTCTCTCCTTGAAATCTGTGTTTTACAGATTATTTCTGGCAATACAAACTTAATCTAAAGGTATAATTTTAATGGGAAGTACTTAGGAACTATGGGTATTAGTAAAAAAAGAGAAATGTTTAAATACTTAGATATCTTGTCCCTCCTCATGATATTTGTTATTCTACATATTTAAAAGGCCAACTCAGCAAAATCAGTATGTTATGACAAAGAGATACATAAGCATATTTTAAATCTTCTAGAATACAAAGGTACTTTCCTCTGTCCACAGACACACACACACACACACACACACATACACACAGAGAAAAGTAGTTTTTTTTTTCTTTTTAATTAAAGTAATAAGTGATTATCAGCTACCTGGGAGCAGAAATCATGACTGATTTCACTTTAGATCTCTTTTTATTGTCATTTACCATTCAGTGGCAGATTGTGGAATAAATAAATTAATAGATGAATATTTTATCTGTGCTACCGTAAGATATAAGCTATATTTATATGGAATGATCGTGTTCATCATAATGCCAAGCAATGAGCCAAAGTTACACACTAATACATGGCTGAAGATGGAGTCAAGTCCAACTGTAGTAAGCTCCAAAGCCCACCAGCCTGACAGGTCAGCAGTGTAAATAAGGAGTACATGTATTTGAATGCTGAGTATGTTATACACAATATATTGTAACTTTAAACTTTCAATTACTTATTCAAAAATAATTTAATATATGCCTAAAAAAGGGCACTGACCTAAGTGCTATACAGGTTACAAAAAGATCTTATCTTTATATGCTTGAAAGGTTGGCAGTTTTAAAAGGGAAACAAAATATAGACATCTAAAATATTAAGGAAGAATAGAAGGTATCATGTTCAATGTCAAATGTGAAGCAGAGATAGCATTTTCAGAAGAATTTAGAGATGAAAGAAATAACAAATTAGAATAAACAGGAAATTAATTATGAGAAAGATAGGATTTAAGATGACCTTTGAAGAGCAGATAAGATTCAGATAACCAAAAAGGAACAGAAAGTACATTCCTGATACAGGAATTTTAGAAAAGGAAAAAAATACTTATTATCATATCATTATAACAATTTTAAATAATGCAGAGTTGTTTAAAATGAAAAAGACTTCATGAAGTATATACTACTTTGAAGATATTTTTTCTGTTAAAAAAAAAGACTTCTAACACTGTAAAACTCATGATTAGTGTTAAGTCAGTACTAACTAGCACTTATTGGCACTTAGCCATAAAAGCTCACATGAGCTCTCAATCATGTATGTTTGGTAAGTTTGATAAGAGCAAGTTTCTCTAGTAATATCCATTAAATTCTGTAATCAGAATGTCCACATCACATTTTATAGAAGTAATTAGCCTTAAGAAACTGACACTCTGAAATGCTCATATGACATCATAAGCTTCCCACAAAGTTGAAGGAAATTTGCTATTCAGAGTGACTTGGCACTATTCAGTTTGATTTTAAACTGAGACAAGCAAGAATGTAAACACATTGTTACAACAATAAAATCAAAAAAGGCGTTTGGAACTGTAGTTCCTGATTTGTTTAACATAAGGAAATGAGTCATTTGACTCTGTCATGCAAACTCTGTTTTTTATAAAGTATAAGCCTTGGTGACCAATTAAGTTGTCAGGCACAGAAGGGTCTTCGTCACAATGACTAAGTAAAATTAAATGCCTTAGTGATATAATCTATAATAAGAGAAAATTCCAATTCCTAGTATAATATTTAATTTGTCTAGTTGGTCAAAAGGTATCCAGGTGAATTTTCATGTTCATATGCTTTCAGGTAAGCATCTTTCTCCTAGAAGTGTCAAAGAGAATAGCTGAGGGTTAAAGAAAGGTAGATACTTTTAATAGTTTGGCATTGCTGGTGAACTGCTTGTCAGTGACAAAATTGCATTAAAAATATCTTAATCCAGAAAGGTATTTTATCACAAGCTTTATATCCTGAGGTAGACATGTTTACACGTAGTCACATGACATGCATATGTTTAACCAGTTAAAAATAATCAAGGTGATTCATAAGAATGAATTGGTTTATTTTTTCTTAATTCTTTCTACTATGTTCTTACCGTATTATGAGGAGTTCTACCCAGACTCGTACAAAAGCTGGTAATGGACCAAAGACTTCCAAAATATACGTGTAATGACCTCCGGATTTCTTTATACTTGTTCCCAATTCAGCATAAGACAAGGCTCCTGTGAAATATTTGTCACAAAATGGTACCAATTTAACACATTTTCAAGACACCTAGCATTAAAATGGATACAATAATGTTTATATGCTGCCTGAGATGTAACTATCTCCTTTGGTCTGAATAGCATCCTTATTCAAGACAAATAACCGTCATCTAATTGCTAAGACCCGCCAAGTTCCTCTTCTAACATCCTCACAGCTGAGATTTAGTTCACTCTATTTGAACACTATAATTTTACTTGAAATGACAAAGACACGTGTCTACAACAATATCATGTGTTCCAGAATTTTGAGATGAAAACCTGGAAATAGGGGAAAAAGAGAAGAGAGATGTCAATAATATCGACCTATTTTTAGAAGAACACAACCTCACTCCGAGACAAGGTGTTAGTCCAAATGTTTGAGTTAGCTTTTAACTTTTTTTTGAATTATTTTTTGAGAACCCTTTTAATAAATTATGTTTCCGTGGAAAATCGAAATAAATAAGCTGTATCCACTCTTTAGAAAACTATGGACTCTATGCCTTGCAAGATTTCATTTAATTTGTAGGATATATTTTGTCAACAAAATGAATTCTGACTCCTTCTGTTTCTATAAAAGGCTATATTGAATGTTTTTTGAAGTGTACACTCTGGGTTTTTTGTTCTTTTTTTTTTTTGAGATAGAGTTTCTCGTCACCCAGGCTAGAGTGCAATGGCGCTCTCAGCTCACTGCAACCTCCGCCTCCCAGGTTCAAGCAGTTCTCCTGCCTCAGGGTCCCGAGTAGCTGGGATTACAGGTGGCCACCACCACGCCCAGCTAATTTTCGTATTTTTAGTAAAGATGGGGTTTCACTACGTTGGCCAGGCTGGTCTTGAACTCCTGATCTCAGATGATCCATCCACCTCGGCCTCCCAAAGTGTTGGGATTACAGGCGTGAGCCCTTGCACCCAGCCAGAATATACTTTTTTTTTTTTTTTTGAGACAGAGTCTCACTCTCTCCCCCAGACTGGAGTGCAGTGGCACGATCTCTGCTCACTGCAACCTCTGCCTCCAGGGTTCAAGCTATTCTCCTGCCTCAGCCTCCCAAGTAGTTGGGATTACAGGCGCCTGCCAGCACGCCCGGCTAATTTTTTGTATTTTTAGTAGAGACCAGGTTTCTCCATGTTGGCCGGGCTGGTCTCGAACTCCCAACCTCAGGTGATCTGCTCGCCTAGGCCTCCCAAAGTGCTGGTATTACAGGCGTGAGCCACTGCACCCAGCCCAGAATATACTTTTTAAATGAGGTGCTATAATTTATATTTGTGTACTTCAGATCGAATTAACTATAAGCTAAATTTTTAATATTTAACGATACAATTCACATAAAATTGGACAAATATGCAATTCCACAAAACCTCAGTTTCACTCTCTGTGAAATGGAGATCTCAGTTTCTACCTCATAAGGGAATTATGTGTATAGATGTGGCAGTGGGTACCTAGGAGAGTACACGGCCTGACACATGGCAAGCATCACATGAAATATAGCTATACTTATTAATTTGAGTAATTAACAAGAAAATAAAAAACATATCCTGTCATTATGTGAAAAGTTCTATCTGTACTGCCAAGTGCTCAAATGTAAGAACACGACTTTTTTCCAAGCTACATCTGAGAATAAAAGTGTAGAGAAGTATTACTGATTAATAATAATTTAGACAGAACTGTCCAACATAAATATAATTTGGATATTCAGTGAAATCTTAGTGTTACATATTTTATATCTGATTTCTAAACTTGTCATGACATCAAAGTCACCTAGGAATAATTGTTTTGTTTTGTTTTTGAGAGAGGGTATTGCTCTGTCACCTAGGCTAGAGTGCAGTGGCACAATCTCGCCTCACTGCAGACTCCACATTCTGAGCTCAAGTGATCCTTCCACCTCAGCCTCCCGAATAGCTGGGGCCACAGGCGTGCACCACCATGCCCAGCTAAATTTTTGTGTATTTTTTGTAGAGACAGGGTTTCGCCATGTTGCCCAGGCTGGTCTGGAACTCCTGGGCTCAAGGGTTCTGTCTGCCTCAGACTCCCAAAGTGCTGAGATCATGGGCATGAGCCACCATGCTTGGTCTGGGAATAATTTTTAATTCGAAAACACTCAAATGAAAAACAGACTCTAATCAAGAGAGTGTAGATTGTCCACAAGAGAAATTCAAGAATCTCTATCATTTTAAAATTTGCACAAATAATTCCGAAGTAACTAGTCTGCAGACTGATATGTGGGGAACACTTATATATTTCATCTACCTATAACTAATTATAACGAGTTGCAACTCACTCTCCATGGGGGAACATTCGCCATGTTGGTAGGCTGTCCAGAAAAGGATCCAATATAAAATGTTATTGGAAAGAGTCTTAAGTACCTCAGAATTTATTGTCAGAGAATCAATACCTAGACCTCTGTATGCTTTGCTGAAACTCCAGGATGGTTGCCCTAGGTTTACACTGAGTTCTGGGGGAATGATTTTCATTTAAAGGTCTAAAGCTTCATAACCATTTTGCCCAGATGAAAAAAGTTCAAAACAAGATGTAAAAATCCATGTATTGACCCTTCACTTAAAAAAAAACTATATATATGTATTAAACCAAATGTACAGATTCTTTACAGTTGATCCCAGAGTTCTAGTGTCTTTTTAAAAAGAAGGATTATTTTTTCTTTACATTTTGCTTTGCTTACTGTTAGAGAGGCACTCCTGTCCAGAAGCTTCTGGTAACTTAAGTGACAAATGCAATGCAAATAAAGATAAGTAGATTAATACAAGAAGCACACTCCCTTCAATTATTAATCAAAGAACACCAGCTCAAGTGTAATGTTAGCTAGTCTCCTTAGCTGTTTCTCTCTTTTTATTGTTCTTGAGCTTCTGCTTAAGATATGTAATACTTATGCATAAGCATATTTTCATAGTGCAAGTCAACATCACTTTAACTAGTTCAATACTCATACTGATATACTTTATTACATCTGAATAATATTTTATTATGTGCAAAAATTGAATCCCATAGTGGAAGCTGCATGTACATAAGTATGCAAAGTCCAGTAAACTGGTTGTGGTTTTTCTGATTAGATATTGATTTATTCTGAATATATAAAGTGCTGTAAGAAGATTTAAAGACTGAGGTGCACAAAGTCATTTAAGATGATCAACAATTAGGTTTCTCTTTATCTACAAGTGCATACACCAGAGCTATTTTAAAGTTAATAGTGGCTAAGGGTACTATTAGAGTGTCTCATAATGGTATTACTCCAAATTATTTTATAAAGATGGGAAGTAATACTGGGAAATAATGATACACAAATGTTACTGAATATTTAATAAAGCACAAGTTAGTCATATAAATAATACCACAAACTCTTTCTAAAAACCCCAAATAATTCCTCTATAAATCTTTCTATACTATGACCTTGTTTTAACAAGTTTTATTTAAAATAAATAAATAACTTCTTCCTAAAAATGGAATTTGAGGACTAGGAGCGGTGTCACTGCTCATGCCTGTAATTCCAGCACTTTGGGAGACTGAGGCAGATGGATCATGAGGTCAGGAGATTGAGACCAACCTGGCTAACACAGTGAAACCCCATCTCTACAAAAATACAAAAAATTTGCCAAACGTGGTGGCACACACCTCTAGTACCAGCTACTCAAGAGGCTGAGGCAGGAGAATTGCTTGAACCTGGGAGACGGAGGCTGCAGTGAGCCGAGATCACACCACTGCACTCCAGCCTCAGCAACAGAGCGAGACTCCATCTCAAAAAAAAAAAAAAAAAAAAAAAAAAAGGAATTTGAGTTATCTAGATGAGCGTCAAACCAACGATTTAAAACATCACAAGGCCTGAGTGGAAAGAATGAATGGATTGGTACACATGGGAACAAGAGTTAGTACTTGTTAGTTAGTCCTAGAGTTACTTAGTACTTGTTAGTGTTAGTCCTAGAGTTAAGACAAAGAGCAACTTTAAAGTATAGAATCTTTCCCAAGAAGAGTAAACAAATCTTCATAGCATAAATCAAATTTAATGTTTGACAGTTCACCAGTTTCTATCATCTTTACAACAAACTCAGGTAGCGCTCTAGTAATTTGCCTATTTCATAAGGGGTATTTATTTATCTCTTTATTATTAATTCTCAAATCAACAGAAGAGACATAAATTTTGAAGAAAAATTCATAATTATACTTCTACCAGTTCCCTTAGGATTAATTCAGTGAACAGGTGGACAAATTATCTGTGTCCCTGGAGAATAAGTGAAATATAAATGATAAAAACAGATCTGGGCAAGCACAGAAAACTAACACCCAACTGAAGTTTTAAAACTTACATTGCAAAAGTGTATGGGTATTGAGAAGAGATGAAAGGTTGAAAAGTAATTTGAAATTTGCTCAGGCCATTGCAATATGCCCCATTATGATAGGGATTGAGTTATGCGCCATCATACATTTCTCTCTCATGCCAAGGACTTTTGAAAGGATATTAAGAGGTGACAAGCATATGAACTTAAAAAATATTTTTAAAAAGACTGCCACCCATTTGTTAGGCTAATAAAAAGTCAGTAAGGCTTCTGCTGAACACTTCGTTCTATGTCTAAATAGGCCATGCCAGGTTCCACTTCACAGGTGTTTCATTCAACATGCCAGCTGCCAGAGTGCCCAAGCTAAGCACAACTGCCCGGCATAGAAAGTGTGCATGTTTTTTACGGGGTCATGAAAGTTAGTCTTTGCTCTCATCCCACAGGGAAAAGTCAGAAAATAGCCTGTCTTAGTCAGGAAAAGAAAGTACAGCCTGTAGGAAACAATTTGAGGGCGTTCCAGATCACACCAACAGTGGATTCTGCGTCTGGGTAGTTCACGTACCTGAACAAAAATTTTAAAAATGTGGTGTGGCCTTTGCCATCCATTCACTCCTCAAAAATTACCATTTGCTTTCCCAGAAAGCAAGCTTTCCAGTCCCACAGCCACGCCCCCTCCCCCCCAGAGAAAAAGTTGCACTCACCAAATAGTGACAGGACCCCACACACCGTCCAGATGGTCAGAGACATGCCCACGCTGCCTGTGTTCTGGAGCACGCCCTTAGGAGAGATGAAGATTCCTGCTCCAATGATGGTGCCAATGATAATGGAGATTCCCCTCAGTAAAGTGACTTTCCTCTTCAGCTGCACTTTCTCCTGCCCAGGTGGCTCCTTGTTGCCCAGGGAAGGCAGCCTCCTGTTAACATTTCCCTGCAGGTAACCTCCTTTGGAGATGGTGGACACAACAGGCTTTCTGACCATAGTAGGGGCACACGGGGGAAAAATAAAACAGAGGGAAAGAAAACAAAACTTTCAACTTTGGTGTCTCTTGGTGTTACTGATCGAGGTCTTCCTCTTTGCTTTCTTTGCTTTCAGACTGTCTTTCTCAGCCCTATAGTGTTCACAGGTAAAAACCCAAAGGTGTGCTTTATCCTTCACAGCGGCTAATTACTAATCAGAAACACCTGTGTATGCATCGTGCTCCCAGTTCTCCACCTCCTCGTTCTACCGCTGCTGCTGCTGCTGCTGCCGCCCTATCATTACAAACCAGCTCAGCTTCCTCATGGGCTTGTATTTAAGCGCCTGCCTGTCACACCAACTTACTACAGCTAAATGATGATGCAAATTCTCCAGGTTTGCATCAGCCACATGAGAAGGCTCCAGCATTACTCAGCTCTTTTTTTTTCAAAAAAAAAAAAAAAAAAAAAAAAAAACCAGGAGGAGCTTGTTGCTCAACTGACCTAAGCTTTTTAGAGAACAAAGCACACACTTTAAAGAGACTTTGGCCAATCCAGAAGTAGTAAATTCGGAACAGACCTTCCCAGAGATTTAAAGCAACTCGTAGTGAGCAACAAAAGCTGTTCAAACAAAATGAAACAGGAAATAGTTACTTCATTTTAAGGAGTTTCTTTTTCTTTAATGCATGTATAAAAACATTTTACACGTGACTGTTTTGTGAGTAGAATGTATCCTAAAGCTGCATTTTTTTATAACAACACAGTTTGAGTTTCATAATTTGTGTAATGCTTATTTTTATTTTTTATTTTGAGTTTCTTATAAGGCAATACAGTCAAATCTAACATTTACAAAATTAAAAAGATTCTACACTTTATACTGTGTCACATACATACAACTGTAAGCCTTCCTCAACATTAAAAGATAAAATTATTTCTTATTACTCATAATAAACCAACATTTTAAATCACATCTGAGTGTGACAAATATAAAATTCACCATGACTCCAGAAAATAGTCATTTTCGGATTCTCATTAGCACAAGGTGATTTTTTTTAACTAATGTAAAAGATACATATTGTTCCTTTGAATTACCAAAAAAAATTTCTAAGTTCAAAATTACACAATTACAATTACATAAAAATATGCATATAGCAAAAGACTGTAAAGGAAAACACAGAATAGTAGTTACAGAAAGTAATGATATTATGTATGACTTTTTCCACATTATATAAACTATTGTTATATTATGATTATAAATTTAAAATGCATTAAACATGTAAGCTAAGATTAAAATATTTACTTTGTAATTGTCAAAAAGGCAAAACATTTTTAAACCCTTCTAACTTTCTCAACCAAGTGTCAAGAAAAAATAAATACGAAAAGAAAAGAAATCCTAGATATCATTTTTGGCTATAGTTACATGTGGTTTTGAATGCAGTGAGAAGAATTGAATGTTATCATCACCCTGAAGCTAGCTTTATATGCACCATTAAATATGCTTCTGAACCTTTGAACAAAAACCACAAACAAAAAGCCTGTGTGCGAGAGGTTGGCAGGGAAAGAAGGGAGTCAAGTATGGTGAGAATGATCAAAGAAGGAAATAAGAAATTGCCATTAGGAAAGTAGCATCGAAAAGGTCAGACCATTTTCTGTTATGTTGGCACCTGAGAAAATGACACCACCTCAATGCTTTGCCATCCAAATAATTGAGGCGACATTTTCTCCTTTTTAAATTATCTATCTAAATTCTATATAATTGGCTTTGGCTACACCAAGTTAAAGTTTTTATTTAATACTTTCTCTCACTTGTTATGTCTTTCAAAAAACAAAAATGGGTCATTTTCCTCATGCAATCTTGCTAAAACTCCTAAAGAAGGAAGCTAAATAGAGATTCTTTTCCTTCCAATTCTCTTCCTCCTCCTACATCTCCTTTCAACTCACACAATTTTCCTGATTAATGTACCTAAGGGGGAGTGGCTTTTGTTTCCCAATAAGAGAAACATATTAGCTCTGAAGACATATGAGGTAAAAGTAGGACGCTAAGAATCACAGGGAACAGCAACTTTCTTTCTCTAATTAACACAGTGTCACACTTTAATTTTGAATTTTGTTATAAATAATTGAACTAATAAGTTGAGCCAAAGACCCCACTCAGATAGGAAGCTGAATGAATTCTAAAGGATGATTATTCTTTCAATATTAAATAACATTTTCCTCCTCACAGTATTTTTTTAAAATTGTGAAGAAAAATGGCTGATGTTAGACTAAAAACCAAAAGGATTATACTTTCATGTAAGATAGAGGCCACCACTCACAATGTTTGCAAAGCTGCACATTGCCACTAAGGGCAGCAGTGTACTTCTTCTAAGCACCCCAAAATCTGTAGAAAATGCAGTTTATAAAGAAAATGTTGAATTTTCTTGAACTCTTAAAATCGCCATTTCTAAGCTTGTAAACTAAGAGTTTGGATGGTCCTCAAATACTTGTGTAACATAAAAATGTGTTCAAAGCAAATGAATACATATTCTTCGTCCTGTATTAGGCCTTATTTTAAGCATAGCTGTCAAATTATGGGACTATCCTAGTGCAATTCGCAAAAACTTATTTACTGCTTACTGTGTACAAGAAATAGTCCTAGCTTCCTCACAGCATCTCATAATAGAAATAGACATAATGTATAGTGGTAGCTACCATTTTCTAGTAATAATTTCTGTCCCATGGTTATAAATATAGGTATATAATCTAGGCCTGGCCAAATATAATCCATTGTTCTGGCTGCAGAGTACTGGAATATTACCTGAGCTTGGATATTTCTAAACAGAATTAGAATTAGCTTTTTTCAACTGTTGTTGGAGATTGTAAAGATGTGACCTGAGAACAACCCGGTGGCCATGTTCCTTGACGTGTTGCAAATATCCTCATGGAATAAGATTGAATATGCAGAAATTAGAGATATTCAGAAAGTCCAAGTACTATCATGCCCTATCTTAGTTCCTAAAGGACACAGATTGGCTCGGGATCCTGAAGATCTTCATTTGCTTCTGTAAGCTACCTAGTTTCCTTGCCAGGTATGCTACCTAATAACACATCAAAAGTCAATTGCACATGGATCATGGAGCTGAATTTGAACGGCACATCATGAACATTTCTAGAAATGGGTCACCCGATATAATAGTAATTAGTCACATGTGGTTATCAGCTCTTGAAATCTGACTAGAATTTGAAGTCTTAAAGAAAAATAACAAAAAAGTTATTAATAATTTGTATTATTCATATTAGTTTTGCCTATTTTATTTTTTATTATGGCTACTAAAAATTAAAATCATATCTGTGGTTCAAAGTTGTGGCTTACTTTATAATTCTAATGGACAGTGCTGATCTAGAGTAAAATGCAGAATATATTTCTAAACTTTGTGTAAGCAGGGATTTCTTAAAAGGGACTCACAAACCCTAATATAAAAAAGAGAAAAATATAGTGTAATATATTAAAATTAAGAATTTGAGTTTATCAAAATATACTATTTGATTATAAAAGTGAATCTTAAAATGGGACAAAATATTTCCAATTTGCAAAGCTCTCATATCCAGAATAAATAATAAGTTTGTATAAATCAATAGGAAAATGACAGACAACCCAATAAAAAATGGCCAAGAAATTTGAACAGATGTTCAATAAAATAGTCAATTCATTTGTGAAAATCTGCTCAATAGCGTTAGTTATTGGGGCAATTAAAACCAAAACCACAATAAGCCATCAATTCCCACTGAGAGTGGCTCACATGAGACAGACTAGCAATACCAGGAGTACTGACAGCATGGAGCAACCAGAATTCTTACACTGCTGCTGGCAGGACACAAATTGGTGCATCCATTATAGAAAGCTGTTCGATGGTATCTTTTAAAGTTAAACAGACACATACCCTTTGAACAAAAAACACTCCTGGGAATATGCCCAATAAAAATGCAGGGCATCTATATGTCAAAAAGCATGGATGAGAACATTCCTAGTACCTTTATTCATTTGAAAATAACCAAATGTCCATTAACAGTATAACAGATATATATATCATTGTATTTATTCAGTGAAATACTGCAATGCTCTAAAAAAAGGACGAACAATGGTGATATAAAAAACAATATGGGTGATTCTCACATAATGTTAGAAGACAGAAGAAAAAAGCATATACTGAAGGGTTCAATTTATATAAAGTTTAAAAACAGGTGAAATGATTCTACAGTCTGAGAACTCTCTGGTTATCTTTGGAGATAAGATTTCTAGTGATTGCGAGGGGGAACCAAAACAGTTCTAGAGTCTTGGTATTGTACTATTTTATCACCTGGGTAGTAATTACCTGAATATTTTAACTTTCTGACAATTCACTGAGCTTTACATTTATTTTATTTTATTTTACTTTATTTTATTATTTTTTTTTGAAACGGAGTCTCACTCAATGTGTTGCCGAGGCTGGAGTACAGTGATATAATCTCGGCTCACTGCAACCTCTGCCTGTCAGGTTCAAGCGATTTTCCTTCCTCAGACTCCCGGGTAGCTGGGATTACAGGCATGCGCCACCATGCCCAGCTAATTTTTGTATTTTTAGTAGAGACGAGATTTTGTCATGTTGGCCAGGCTGGTTTTGAACTCCTGACATCAACTGATCCACCCGCCACGGCCTCCCAAAGTGCTAGGATTACAGGCATGAGCCACTGCGCCTGGCCTACATTTATATTGTTATACCTCTCTGTATTTATGTCATAACTCAGTTATTTAAAAAAAAAGCACAATAGTTGAAAATTTGTGATGTTCTTTCAGAAACAGATTGCTTAAGCAAATAAGCAAAACTGTAGAAAATTTGGGGAGCATAATTGATCAACTCAATACAGTTACTTTATAGAGAATTTCCCATCCACCAAATACAAAATAAAAATTATTTTCAAGTATATATGAAACATTAACAAAACTATTCGTATCAAAGACAAAAATGAAACCCCAGCAAATTCCAGAGAATCAACATTATGTAAACTACACACTCTTACTATAAGTAAGGAAGGAGACCACCCTTCATATCATCTTATGCCCAATTTGTGCCTCCAAAGAAAGAAGTAGTAAAAACTAAAAGGCAGAAATGAAATCCACAGGCAGACAGCCTGTGGCCACACCCTGGGCCTGGTAGTTAAAGATCCACCCTTGAGCTAATCGGTTCTGTTATCTATAGATTTTTACAGGCATTGTATAGAAATGCACTGTGAAAGTCCCTATCTTGTTTTGTTCTAATCTAACTACTGGTGCATGCAGCCCCCAGTCACGTACCCACTGCTTGCTCAATCAATCATGACCCTCTCACATGCATCCCCTTAGAGTTGTGAGCCCTTAAAAGGGACAGGAATTGCGGGGAGCTCGGCTCTTGAGACAGGAGTCTTGCCGATGCCCCCGGCCGAATAAACCCCTTCCTTCTTTAACTCGGTGTCTGAGGAGTTTTGTCTGCCGCCCGTCCTGCTACATAAATATGCAACAAAATTAGAATTAATAGTTATAAAACTAATAAAATAAATGTTATATGTCTGGAAATTAAAAATCATACTACCAGCTGGGTGCAGTGGCTCATGCCTATAATCCCAGTATGAGGCTGAAGCAGGAGAATCGCTTGAGCCTGGAAGGCAGAGGTTATAGTGAGCTGAAATTGTGACACAGGGAGACTCTGTCTAAAAAAAAAATAAATAAAATTAAAAAAATCATACTACCAACTTATCTTTAAATTAGAA